CCCCCCCTCCCTCTCTCTCTCTCACAGAGTAAAGAGAAAATCTCTCCGTTTGCCAAAACTCCGAAGCTGGATCGGAGTGAAATCCTGGGGAAAGAGGGGAAGTCAAAGTCTTCCATGAAACGGAAGCTCTCCTTCACCGTCAGTCCGCCCCGGAACGAAGAGCGGGACTCCGACATGGGTCAGTCTAACATTCACTCTGAAAGTTCTAGTAGCTTGTGTCTGTGCTTCACTGCCGCCCCCTCCTGGTCACTTTTAAGACCTGTTTTTATTGGACAAGCTGTACTAGAGGGTTTTTTTCAAGGGTGTTATGTAACGGTTAAGCCATCATCATAAAATACATGGGTCTCGTTCAAAAACACAATAGCTTCGACTCAAAAAGTAGCAGAAGATCATGAGGGAATAATGAAAAATATATCGTCATTATATTACATGGAGCCTAAAATCTCTTGTTTTAGTCTCAGTTCTGTAGTTAGAAGGCAAAATACATGAATACTGTTGATTATATAAGAAAAGACTACTTAGACAATATAGTAATTAATATTACTACATTAAGACTGAATACGAATATAAGAATAGGCTGCTTAGAATATTAAAACAACAACATATAATCAAATAGCGTTGATGGTATGATGATACTGTGCGATTATATAAGTGTGTCAACCGCTATGTAAAGTGTTTATAATGCGTTATATAGATCAGTGCTGTTTTCAGTGCATTATTTACATGTGAAAATGACAAAGAATTATGGAATAATGCAAAAATACAGAGCAGGACGTTTCAGAATTTAGAGTCTGAACTATAAATTGTATCATTTTTAATTAAATAAATCCTAAACATTTTTTTTTTCAGATTCATTTGAATAATCTGATATTTTGCTTTGCAAAAAATAATATTGTACCTTTAATTTGTAAAAAAAAAATTTTTAAATAGGCATCGCAACATAGTTAATTAATATTTACTTTTTTTTGTTGAATAACTTAAAATAACTATATAATCTTTATGTGAAATCTCAAAATATAACATTTTTTGTCATAATGCCTAGCCTAAAAACCTTGTTGTTTTTTTAGTACTAATTATATACTATTTACATATCATATTATATATTCCATATGTACTATTATATAGTATTTATTAATATTTAAATTAGTTTTTATTCTTTATATTATCAGTTTTTGTTTTATTTTAGTTTTTATCATTTTTAGTTTAGTTTAGTACTGCAAATTACATTTATTTCAGTTAGTTGCCAATGCAACATTTCTCATTTTCACTTTGAAGTTTGCTTAATTTTCGTCCCTGTGAACATTTTGTTCGGCTACCCTTTATCAGAACGAAAGCAGATGGCACTTGTCATGCAGATGACGGCGAGAGACAACAGTCCAGGTAGGAAACGATGAACACAGAACATTTTTTCACCTTTTGCTCTGTACACCGAGGTAAGTTCAGTGAGTTGTCACTGATATATTTTCTTTAGTAGACCATCGGTATCTCTTAAATTTTGATTTCTTCATGTTCAAAAGCCAATATTTACTCAAAAATATATATTGAGTGTATATTTTATTGTGCTTTAGTATGTTTTCATTTATGATAATGTCTCACTCTCGCAACGGTGTTATTTTAGTATTATTTATATACTGTTATAGTATGCATTAATATTTTGAATTAGATTTTATTTTTATATTTCCAGTTTTCATTTTAATTTTAGTTTAGTTTTTGTCATTTCATCAGTTTTCGTTTTTTATTGTTTGTTTGTTTTTTAGTTTGTCAGTTTTGTTTGTTTGTCAGTTTTAGTTTTTATTTATTTATTTATTTTATTTCAGTGAGCTGCCAAGGTGACATTTCAAATTTTCTAGTTTTGTTGTTGTTTTTAAGTTTTCATGTAATATTGATCTTTTATTTAATTTCATGTTTGTTTCAATTAATGAAAATTATTTTTTAATAGTTTTAGTTGTTTATGCTTTTGTCATTTTTATCAGTTTCTGTTTCTTGTATTTCTATTTATCTTTAATTTAATTACATTTTTAAGTTTAATTTATTTTAAGTTTTCATCAGATATTTATATTTCATTTAATTCCAGATTTTTCTCAATTAATGAAAACAACTTTTAATAGTTTTAGTTGTAATAGCTTTATTTTATTAGATGCCAAGGCAACATTTCTAATTTAAGTTTTGAAAAATGAAGTGAAGTTTTCATCTAATATTTATATTATTTTAAGATTTATTTCAATTAGTGAACATTTTAAATAGTTTGTTTTAATATTTTTTGTACTTTTTGTCTTTTTTTTGGTCATTTTTTTTTCTGTTTAGCTTTGTTTGTAATTAATTTTAAGTTACATTTAATTTAATTTTAGTAATTTTATTTATGTTAGTTGCCAAGGCAACATATCTCATTTTCATTTATGTTTTTAAGGTTAAGCATTTTTAGTCTTATATTTATGTATTATTTTATTTAAGCATTATTTCAATTAGTTTTAATGAATACTCTTAGCTATGTCGGCGCTGATAGCCTTGTGGGCAGCACGCTGACATACAGCACCGTTGCACTATGGGCGTCCCAAGTTCGAATCCTGACTCGAGGACCTTTCCTGATCCTACCCCCTATCTCTCTCCCACTTCGCTTCCTGTCAGTTCTTATCTGTCCTATCATAATAAAGGTGAAAATGCCAAAAAAAAAAAAGATTAGTCTTTGCTAATTATAGTAACGCTGTCTCAAACCTGCAGTCACCAGTTTATTTATGATCTGTGAGTTATGATGTAATCTGTTTTTCACTTCCTTTTGTAGTCAAGTTAGGTCAGATTGACAATTGAGATAAACCGTATGACCTTGATGTTCTGGTTTACCGGTTTGTAATCTCAGATACCACACCGAGCCACCCCTCTCAATCTCCAGCTGTGCAGAAGAAGATCGCTAGCAGCTCGTCCTCACGACAGAAGGACAAAGTGAACAAACGGAACGAGAGAGGAGAGACGTCCCTGCATATGGCCGCCATCAGAGGAGATGTCAAGCTGGTGAAGGAACTCATTGGGCTCGGAGCGGATGTGAGCGTCAAAGATTTTGCAGGTGAGACTGTGTTTTATGCACATTTACAGCATCACGTCACCTGATAACAAGCTGTCTGTAGTTTATTTTTTATGTTTTATGCAATTAAATAATCATCTTATGTAATTTAGTTACTTTGTAACAATTAAATAGTTATAAAATAATATAGTAATTGCTGGTATTGTTGCTACTGTAAAACCATAAATTAATAAATTGAAGATTTGGGTATGATGGTGGCTACAATGATGATTTAGAGATGAACAAATGTTCGTCAAACAAGCCTGATGATCATATTTGATACTCATATTTGAACATGATTTTATGGATAATCAGGTAATCATAAGTTGCTTCAGTCCAGTAAGTGTTCATCTTGAAATATTAGTAAAAGGATTCTTACGTTTACTTTTTAAAAATCAGTAGAGATTTCACAGCACAAAGACAAATGAAGCATGAGCTGAAGCTGGACATTCGTGCAATTGCACTAAAAGGCCTTTACTTGCTAAAAAAAGTATAAACTACCAATCAGACGACAGAAGGCATGGAGTATATTGTGCAACAGCAATGTTTTGATCATGTTGATCATTTAGAGGCCTTAAAATTTGTATATCAAATATGATAGTGTGTATAGGGTTAAAAGTTTTCTGTTTTTCCTTCCAGTTGTAGAATCTCATGAGCTCATATTGGTTTGTCCTTTTGTTCAGGTTGGACGCCTCTCCATGAAGCTTGTAACCTTGGTTACTATGATGTGGCGAAGGTTCTGATTGGTGCAGGAGCGGAAGTGAACACGCAGGGATTGGACGATGACACTCCGCTTCATGACGCCTCCAGCAGCGGACACAAAGATGTGAGTTTTTACTTTAAATGATGACATTTACAGCTATTGACCTACAGTACATGGATTTTAAAAGCTGATACTGATCTGTCAGTTAATATAAAGAGTTTGACTGATTTTGTTTTTACTGATCTGAAATCATTTTAATCTAAAGGGTGAGCCTATGTGCTTTAACGTTCATTTTCTTTATTTTTTTAATATATACATGTTAAAGCCTTTTGTTGTTTAAAAAGCATACCAAAATGCAATTTAAGTTATTTAAATTGGTTGAGCATGCATGAATGTAGACCAGGTTTGTCCATGTTATTAGTGTGTCCAAACTAATACAATTTAATTGCAACAAATAAAAGTAACACCTAATTTATGTAATAATAAAATTAGGCATTAGGCATTAATGAGGCTGTAGAGCACACTGTTTTTTTTAAATGTCAGAGCGGGCACATTTATTGACTGATGAATATACTCTCAAAGTAGCCAAATATCTGTTGCAGAACTTGTAGTAATTGTGAATCTTTCTGATCATCTGATTCACCTCTGTATATTGTCTGTCATGTTTTGCCAAACCATAGATTGTGAAGCTGCTCTTGCGTCATGGAGGCAATGCCTTCCAGGCCAACAAGAGAGGGGAGAGACCGGTTGATGTTGCTGACACTCAGGAGCTTGAGCAGTTACTCAAGGGAGAGATCCCACTCTCTGAAGCAGAAGAGAGCTCTTCAGGTACGGAGAAAGTTGACAGCAGATTTGCCAGTGCTGTTGCTTTTGGCATTTCTTTTGAACTTTTATTTTCTTTTTTTCTGGGTTAAATACAAGCTCTGTCAACATTTGCGGCATGCTGTCAGACATGCTGAGCAATCTCTGATGCAGAGTCCAAGCCAAGTCAAATCTGTTTCCTTAATACACTAGTCAACATTTGAAATGGATCAAAACCTTTCATCAAAGTTGTCCTAAACCCTAAAACCATAACGCATTCTTGTCTTAGGACAGCTTTGAACTTCAAATGTTTAGTGTAGTTTTCTGCATTCTCTAGGTTAGTTTTTGAACTCTTTAGCATGAAAATGTATTTATATGCATTTTGCAGATGCTTTAATCCCAAGCGACTTGCATTGGATCTTTTTTTTCTTTTTCCATTCATAATTCCTTTGGAATTGAACCCATGACCTTTTTGTTGCTAGTGCCATGCTTCTACTGTTTGAAATTAAATGAAATTAAAAATTTTACTTGCATTTTAAAGTTTTTTTTTTTTTGTATATTTCTGTAAATGCCCACTCAACAGGAAATGTATCTTTGTGACTGACTTAAAAGTCAAGACTTTTATCAAAACACTGTTGCAATATTAAGATATTTTTTTCTCTTTGTGGACCTAAAGAACTGAGTCCAAGTCAAGTCTCAAGTAACTTTCTTTTGCATGCTGTTGATTACCTCGCACAATAATTTGATATCTTTCACTTTATATAGCACTTTATTTGATGAAAAAAAAAATGTTGGTTGAGCTTTGGAGTACTAGGTACTAGTTCTGGTTATGTGTTACAAATGCTAATGTCATAGCGTATTATTAATTCCTTTTTTTCCATTATTTTGTATGCCACAGAATCAGAGGA